AGCTAAATTTCTGGTCGGCAAAATCGTCAACATAACAAAACAACATTACACATACACTTGATCAATTTGGTTTTGGATCATTTTCGGGTGCAACGTGTAACCAAGAAGTTTCTATGAACATTAAGACTTCAATACGCTTACTGTATCGTAATTAATTCGTTCAGTGATTCAAATAAATCAGCAGAAATGATCAAAGTTACAATTTGTAGGCAAACTGAAGCTCCCACCACTGTGTACTACACATTCTAGTTGACCATTTACATACACTGCCTTGATTTAGCTCTATGGTTGCAAATCTCCCTGACTATATCGGTTCCGGATGATATAATTCTATTGAACTCGGATGTTTCCAGCTGGCAGGATATCTAAACGACCTCAAACGAGCAACAGGTCGAATTTGCACCTCATACGTTTTCCCTCATTGTATTTTACCATGCTCTAGATACCCTATAGCGTTAATATGAGACACGGCATTGGATGCGAATAGCAATATCGTTTCACCAATTCGTAGCTTTGTGTGCAGGATGTTACCGAGAGTATTTACACAGCTGAAGCGTCATAAAGAGTACAAACGTCAACACTAGCACATAAATCACACAACGCTTAGCATAACTTCGAGACAGTGTTGCCATTTATACTACCTCCGATACTTTGACTGTGATAAGAAATGAGCTCAGCATCGTCTATTGACTATAATAGAGATATAATTGACAGATGATAAGCCATTGACAATTTTAGTATCAGATCAGCAATAAGATGTTGATGGAAAGTGCCAAAATGACACAAAAGAAATAGGCCTCAATATGTATTATAGTTGTTTTATAATATATGTGAAAAGTATTAGACAATCCAAATGTATACGTTGTTTCCTTTACCTTTTCAACAAATTCAGTGTTTTCTTGATCCCTTCCTATGAACAAATAATTATAAAATGTGTAACATTTTCCTCTGAAAGATGTATCAATTCTGAAGCCAATTTTTGAAGCTCAAAATATTGTTAATATGGGTGCCGTCTTACGAAAAGCGGTAGAACCGTATGTAAAATAATATTATTATGTCAGAAGATCATTAGACACATTCACATATAGATTAGGGATACTGTGATCAGTGATAGTTTGGATTCAGAAGTTGCTTAAAGAGCTTGGCACTTTGTTTAAGAATGTTTAATGTCCTCCCTGCAACATGGATCCAATAAGATTATTTGATCAAGTTCCTAAGTAACCCTAATTTACATTTGATCGTTTATTCTTATGATTTTCGTTCAACACGTTTACTTTTCCAAGGGTCATATGGGGAACCTTTGTTCAATCTCCAATGACACAGATGGAGAATCAAATACTCATTTTAATTGCTTTTCTGTAAACCTTTCTGGTTATTAAATACAGAACGCGTCAATTTTAATAAATGCAGGCATGCTGGTATTAAACATTTTGTTTAGGTCTGTGTTTTCAGAAAAACTAGTAACACTTGATTCTTATTTTCATATTTTCCACATTTGTGATCAACTATTTAAATACGTAAAAATCTTTAGCAGATACGAAAAGGAGTATTTATGAACTTTCCAGAACTGCCATCAACTATTTTTTTGCCTTAATTTACATGCCAAAAATCGGAAAAAGTAATTTTGTCGTCCCTTAGAAGTGAACGTGTATATAATCTTCCATATTATACAAGAAATGTTAGCCTGAAATGTATTTTATATCACTTCCTATACTCTTCAACGTGTTCACATACCTTGATGAGACTTTAATACGTAATCTTCTTTTGTACCATATCATTGCGCCTTGTCTCTCGCCTATACTCATATGACTAATATTATAAGTTCGTGCACACATTGAGGAGTATTTCCACAAAAAAGACTTTTTCATACAGAAGCAATCACGACCCTTAGTTCAGGGCAGATCTAAATGAAAATTTCTAAGCCAAATCAATGTGATTAATGTTCGAAATAGTATATTTATATAGAAACGTATTTACATGTTTTAGCGACTAGTTTTCACGAGATGTAATTATTGTATTGTTATCAATAAAATGTCCAGTGTTTTCATTTTTATCATTTAAACACCTTGCATCATTATACACGAACAATGGTAATAAATCTCCGGGTCTTACTGGCCGCTAAATAAAGCCACATATGTAGAACTGAAGATTCGGATAAAAAAACTTGCGAAACCAAATGGACGCAAATCTAAAAGTTTTCTTTCGCTCTGTGTTATCTATGTATATTGTAACGAAAATACCGTCTTTACCGACCAAAGACCAATTTATTATTCTACACTAATTTGTAAGACTTACAACTAATTTATGACAAATTTATTGCTATGCTGACTGGACTATTAATCCATCTCAACTTTGCGCTCGTTATCCACCGAGTCGACTGTGTCTGTAGACTCAACTGTGACTGCCTGCTTTCGCCATCTAGTCTGGTATTTATTCCCCTATCGACGAGTTGAGAACCATTCCAGCGTTTTCCAGTCTGAGTCGTGAACTTCTATGGAAGTAGTAAAGATGTCAGCAGATCCATCACAGACGATTCGAATACTCGCGGTCCAGAAATGCAATCATGCTCCAAATATGATCGTGTAATTCTGGTTGTTGTCTAAGCAACGATCCCACTTCTTCTAGTTGATGTACGAGAGTGTCTGTTGTAGAGTTTCTGTTATACGGGGGCGTTACAATATAAATGGAATTATATTCCATTTACGTTCCGGCAAAACATAACACTAGCGCGCGACGTTCGAATTCGCGCTCTTCTATTGGCTAGCACGCCACAAGTGCCTGGGTAGGCGCCGAAAAGCGAATAGAAGGGCCGACCGAGTGCCCGCGTTAGTTTTGACGCGTAAAGTAAATGAGGTTTAAATAGTGTTTACCTGTTTTTTTATCATGTGAGACATATTTCAAGTGCAGTCTGTTACTATTTTACTCAACACGTAAAATTACTGTAACTTATTTGATAAGTTCAATAGCATTATACGCTATCAGGTTCGTTAACCTTGCGATCTGAAGTTAATCGATTGATAAAAATGAACTAGCATTATCGTTGAAATATAAAAAGTTCACACGTATAATTAATCACGAAGTAGTTAAGGAGTGTGTGATGTGACAGTAAAATATTGTAATAGGTCTGAATGAATAAAAATACACGACAAATAATTTTTAGCTGTATTTCTATTTATCTATACATGAAAATCAATTGACGTACATATTTTCATAGGCGTCGGTGAACTGCTTACCACGTAAAAGTGTGACAGATTACATGCAAATGCGACATATTCTGTCGACCCTTTTGTCCCTAGTGTCACCACGTCTTTTCTATCCTACCAATTATCAAGGGCGCCTGCAGAAATTTTTCCAAAGGGTGCAAATAAAATATGGATGCTTGTTATACTAAATAAACATATCTTGATGATTTCTGGAGAAAAACCAGATACACCACACACATGTTCTTTACTAGTGAAACAAAGCCTATCAACGGAGCATACCTGATAGGTAGTCGCCTCTGTGTACAATATACATGGAACCGCAAACCAGGAGTGATACGTTAGTTAGTTTATTACATAAGTAATTTTAGTGTTAAAACAAGGGAAGATATTCCAGTAACGGATCTTTCATCTTAAAAAGGAAGAGTAAGGCTAAATAAACAAAGGCTTCTTGCTTCTCTAATATTCCCCATTCCGAGAAAATACCTGATATAAAAGAAATTTTTTCAAACTATATACTTTTGAATTACATTTCTGAGGCTCATGCATATAGACCACTGAAGTTGGAAGGTACTCTATATTGTTATATTCTAGTTGCTGACATGATGATTTCAAACTTTTTATAGCTCTAGAATTATACTGAATCAACAAAATCTAAATACAGTATCTTTTCTAATATCGTATGTCCAAAATGTTTTGACGCAAAATTAATTGGCTTTAACTTTAACAAATACAAAATGATATCAAGTTACCCTTAGAAACAAAAAGCAGAGTGCGAGCAGGAAATACCATATCTGAATCTCCCAAAAAGTGGAAGACCACGTATATTTACTACACAGAGGTCAGAGAGACTGTGAGAAGAGCAAAAAATCAGGTTGGAATGTCCACAAGGAGACTGGCTCGTTAATACAGATCTTCTAAGAGTACGATATCGTTGCAAGTGAGGTGGAATGGTCTTAAATATCGAAGGAGACCAAACATAAGTGTCCCAAATACTCTCAAGCATAGCTTCTTCGTCAACTTAGGCGGCTATACTTTGCCAACGGAAAAATGATTATTTAAGATGACGCAAAGTACTTCATTTTGCGTAATTCTGCAAAGAAGGGAAATGACGGATTTTATACGGACAACGTTGAGGAATGCCCTGACAATGTTAGAAACAAACATAAAGTGAAATTTGCAGATAAAATCCTAGTCTGGTGCGCAATTTCTAACAGGGGTGTATCATAACCTTTTGTGGGAAGAGGGAAGGGTGAAGCTTTGAATAGTCAGAGCTATATTGGTAACTGCCTTTTTCTAACTGCTTAAGTTTGTCCGCAAACTTCTTGATAACGACCATTTCAAGTTTTGGCCAGACCTAGCATCATGTCATTACTCAAGATATACCGAAAACTGACTTCGACTACACAACATACCTACGACAAACTGAGAGAAGTTGATCTAAATTCCGTCCAGGATCTTATGAAAGAAAGTTGCGTCTCGTAGAGCAAAATGGGACACTCTACATAATTCGATAGTATAGTTTAGGTATTGCAAGAGTTGTAATTTATGATAACTAGTTAGTGGTTAAATAAATTTCTTCAATGAAAAAGATCCGAACAATATTTTGTGGTAAAATTTTCAGGACATACGTTATCAAAAAGTGCACTTTCCCATAACCGTTCACCAACGCCTTTATTCCCTTCCTGTAACACCTCACCCTACCACCCTGATTCGTCATTGTTGTACGCGACGGTATCGTCGGTCTCCAAAGAAACGCGTCGACGCCTGTTGACTGGACGTCGCGGCGCCCATCGATGCCACCGGTCAGTCGTGGCAGTGCGAAGTCCGAAAGAACAAGGGTCCAACCTATAGGGCTGAAGTCCGAGCCATGGGGTGCGCCAGCAGCGGGCCTGTCATGGAAGCGGGCAAAGGGGCCGTCGATCAGGCATCGCATACTGTGTCGGATGCTTTGGCCACTACGGAAAAGGCTATCCAAGGTCAGTGATCCATCATTCTCAATGGTATCGTAAATGTGGGTGGCCACCCTTATTCATGAATCATCTTGTAGTGTAAATTATTTGTGTATTGTGACACGGATAGACGATTATATTTCACACCTACTGTAGCGGTTGTAGTCGAAGAACGATGGGTGATCAAACATTTGTGGCGACTTTTTTGGCCAAAATCCAAAGGGGGATCATCAAACCTCGTCAAAATCCATTACTCAAGGTATGCGAAACAATAAAAATGCTATAAAAATGACTTGTACTGTCTCTGCTAGTCTGGTCGAGTAGCGCAATGTTAATTTTCTTCAGCTCGATGTTCAATTTTCGTGGCACCTGCGGCATTTCTATTGTAACTTTCGAAGCTCACCCACTAGCTGTCTTTTTAATTCTTCGCGTTCCCTCTAACCGTTAATTTAGCATGTTTGGCAGGGTGTCCATTTTTACTCATTGTTTTGTCGGTAATTTTTACACATTAATTTTCTGAAATGCTTATTTTCTTATTATTCCGATGTTTCTCGATACAGTGAGCTTAGGCACTCAGTCCCAAAAAATGTTTCATGTTTCAACAGTCGATAGTTGGTGTATTCTAGAAGGAGAAAGCAACTTTAATTTTCGATTGCCAACATCATGGCGATTGAGCATTTTCATTCATATCAATGACAATACAAGAGATCTGCTACTAATCAGCTCAATTTTTCTTCCAAAATAATCGTTTCTCTCATTTTTTGCGAGAGCGTCAGTAGACGGTTTTAATCCTTGACCAATAAAAATATTATTGATAAAATACCATAATCAAAGGACGACAAACTTTTGTCCAGATCTTATTTTGACGTGGTATCTTGATTACCTCTAGGTTTGACTAAAGATTCAGCCAAAGTCCAAGACCAAGAGATTTTCGAAATTTGATCAAAACCAGTCTGGTCACCGTTTAAATTGACTGCTCGTGTTGTACCGTACTTGAGGCTGCCTGCATGTCATTTACTTATCGGTACAGCCATACTTTACTAGGCAATATTATATGTTATCTGTAAGAATAACATTGTCAAGATAATGAGAAGATACACAAAGTCTATTAAAAGAATGAATTATATGTAAAAGACAAATGTAACTGGGAAATAGGTAACGTTTCTGCCGTGATCACGGTTTCATGCTTTCCTATACATATACCTTGGAATTATTGAAAATCCGGTTTGCGAGGCACAGATACTCTGTAATACGCTATATCATCATACAACTGTTGTCATAAGACGTCATTTTGAGTCTCTGAGTGTCATTTTCAGATATACTCTTGTATGCATCAACGAGTACGTATTTTGGGAAACCTATTGTTACGTGTGCTGTGAAAATGTTGAAAATGGGCACTGTCTTCAAGGCGATTTTGGACAAACATGCTGAGCATCAATTTTTATCCGTATATATCACATTGTCATCTTATGATAATAATAGTAATTAAAGTTCCGCCATAAACTGATACGATCTACTTTTAACTATATTCATATTTAAAACCCCATCTAATATGATCCAATCCAAATATAGATTCACAATGTGTTTTACAGGTGTGCCTGTTATTCATATAATACGTACGTATAAAAAAAAACAATCTGCACGTTTCTAATACTTCTCTAAATCTATCTCTTCGGTGCATGTGCATCTATACTTCTGATCTAGTCTGTTGCATTATGCATGAAGTTAAACTCTTTGAACCAGCTGTAAATATTTCTATGAATATCCAACATGCAATGCTCACCCTATAATTCTCAGTAGTTAGTCAATCAAGATATTGATCTTCCAGCTTATTAAACCTATACACATTCTACTTGCTTATTTAAATTGATTAAATTACACGCCTTACTATTCGTCATTAATAACTCTTATTCTTATATTGGCATATTTTTCATGAAATGACGGTAGCAAATGAATGGAACAAAGGAGCAACCTAAAGCCAATGGGCGAATCGAGACCGACCAGCACTGCGTCGCTTCCTCTTGACAGCTTCCTAAGCAACTGTTACTTGTGTTGACTAATGTAGGTGGAGGGTTCATATTTCATCCTTTGCAGGGCGCATAAAACTTTGAGGCCGGTCCTGCGGAGGATTCCTCCTCATCGCTACATCACCCGCAAAGCGAATCCTCAATGCATGATTCTGTTTGCAGCTAAACTTGGCATCTTATTACCTAGATCCCTACGTATCCAGGCACCCATAAATTAACTGCACTCTAGAAAGAGTCTTAGAATGACGATAGTTAGGATGAAAGAAGTTAAGGCATTTGAACCTTGGATAAACTACGTAGCAACTTTTAGATATCTTCTTCTCATGAAATGATACCTGTTGCATGCGTTACCATGGCGGGGTGTATAGCGAATAACTGAACGGTTTTAAAATATTGCGATTGTCCCCTTAGAAAAAAGTATGCTGCGATTATGTATACGAAATATGTTAGCTAACAACGTTGGCTAATAATATTGGAGTCCCAGACTGACAGCTATACAATATTTACATCCAAAACATGCCAGTGGCTGCGGCCATTTCGCTTATTTCTATGTTCATTGCGCTCAACACGGGTGTTGAAAATATTTCTTTATAAGAACAAATTTGCGGGAAAATTTATGTGTGAAATATGTCTAATAAGTGCGTACAATTACCGGGAATAAAAGCATATAAATTTACTAATGTCAAAAGATTGATGTAATCTCCCCCACTCCCTTTAACATCCCACCTCCAATTTTTGTCACTTGAAGACATTCCAAAAATGACCAGGAGTTCAAGAACAAAGTCTGAGTGATTTTCCTATTGATTTTAAAATCCTACAAAGCAAAATTTCATCAAAATACGAGCGATACTTTAGGGGCCAAGCATTAACGGACAGACCAACAGACAGACAGATAGACATGCCGACAGAAATGAGTGACATAGTTTCTCGTGATGTAAAATGTACATGTTATGTAACATCCACAAAACATCTCATTTTCGAAATTTTCGATTATTATTTCATTACTATAATGAAAGGGGAAGTAAAAAGAGATATCTTCCCACCGAAAATGCCGAATATGCCGAGTTATTGGTTGCAAGATTTCATTTTTTAGACAAAATACATCTCAACAACTACTTGACATATCTCAGAAATATGTAGATCCACTCAAATAGAATAAGAGACCTATCCTCGTATCTATCAAAAGAAAAAACCTCGTAGGTGTGAATTGAGGAGATGTTGCAAGAAGTTAAGTCATTTGAATCTGGTTATTCTTAACAATTTGTCGAATTCTGTGTTCATTTCAAAGGTTAGAAAACAAATAAGCATGTATTGAGCCCACCAGATACCATGACGGAACTTCTACCGGATGAAAATTTAAGCAGGCAGTCTAGCTTACTACACTGACCTCTCCTAATGCCTTTGAGGCTGACATACACACTCGTGCAAATCGTACGCTTTGCTAGTACAATCTAAAATCGTCAAGCAATGCGTAGTATGTACGAGCCCCTTTCCACTTCAGTTGGCCCACTTCAAGATTTGTACCAAAATATGTCTTTATGACGAAACTATTTACTTCTAAAACAATTTATTTTCTCAAAAACATTTTAGATACACTCTAGTCGTAAAAAGTACATATTTGAAAGCACTTAGACCTATAACTAATAGAAGATCTGAACTAATAAACAATGTGCGAATAAATGCGCAACAAAGCAACAATTGAAAGTTTACCATTGGGTAACATCACCTTTATTTTTTATTACGGCTGAAATTCTTTGGGGCATAGTGTTAACCAAGTTTTATAGCCTTTTTTGAGGTAGGTATGGCACGCTGCACCATCTTGCTGAAACACAAAATCTCGACCGGATGTCAAACATTCTTCCATCACTGGTAAAAGTGATTCTTCTAAAATTGCCAAATATTTGTTTGTATCCACATTTCCATCAATAAAATGAAGTTTTCCTAGTCCTTTTGATGACATACTGCCCCAGACCATAATGGATGCTGGAAATTTCACTTTTCTCTTCAGACAGTCAACATGGAATGCTTCATTTTTTTGCGAATAACTTTACTGCGACTGTCACCAACATACCAACTTCGAATCGGGCCTCATCACTCCATTGTATTGCACACCATTGTTGAGGTGTCCATTGTCTATGTTCTTTAGCCCATCTAAGCCGAGTTTTCTTTTGCAGTGGAGTTAGTAGTGGCTTTTATTTGGCCTATAAACAAGTTGTGCAACTTTAGGGTTTTTACTTCATTTTTTTTTATAAGAAAACTTACCTCGCAAGTGCTAAATCCGAGTTTGTGGGCTTCTGTATGAGTTGTGGACCTCGAAATTCTCCTTCAAACAGCGTCACAGAGCACTTAATTGTAAATAATTGGCACGCCTGTTTTTCACGATTATTCTTAATGCTCTTCGGTCGGCATTTGTGACTTTTTTTCACATGGCTTAATATTAACTGAACCAGTTACGTTATATTTTCTAACAATATTTCTCACACTTTACCGTGATAAGTCTAACAAACTTGCAATTTCTGAGTTTGATTTCCCAGAATTAAAAAATTTAATTTTCAGTAACCGAATTTTCTCACTAATAACCTTTCCTCTACCCATTTTGAAAACTTTAACTACCCAAAACTATTTTAAACGTATTCTGATAGCTGTGATTAATAAAAACAATTGTCATGGCTTTTATTTTTCACAGCCACCTATGCGTTATAGACTTATTTTGCATTGAAATGAAAATAGGTTGATATGCTGTAATTGTAACATGTGTTATTTTTATGCTGCAAATTTGATTAGTGAGTGATAAAGTTGGTATTTTCTACTATATATTATCAAAATATTCATTGTTAATATTTTAAACCTATAACACCCTGCTACATTTTTATTATTTGTGTTTGATAAGAAAAAAACTAAGATTACAATAGTTGGGACAACTGAAATGGGAAGGGGCTCGTACATACTTGGGTCGAATACCGAAATCCGGTATTCAAAAACATCCTGAATACTATATTTTGAATTGTATTCGAATACTTAAGATTTACAAAGATGAAACGTATTCGAATACCATTGTTTTGAATACCTAGATTCATTTATTCATTCATATTCCAACAACAAAAAAACATAGGCGCTCCTCAAAGTTGATTTTTATTTATTTACTTAAGTTATAAAAATATGTATAAATAAAAAATACATGACTATATTGAATAATCAGAATAAAAAACACAACATTTCGATACACAATGTCACAGTGACGTCAGACAAACTCATTGTTTGATTTTTATTAGATTATTAATAGACAATATAATAAAACTTAATAAAACATACAGTGAAAAGCCTATACAACTGACGGCGTAATATGTACGAGAGAGAAGCGTGAGAAGTATGCAATATGTATGTTAGAAATAGATAGAAGCACCTCGTTTCCTAGCGACCCGAGTACGAGGTCACGGACGCCATTTGCGCACTCTTTCTAATATACATATTGCACGCTTCTGGCACATGTCTCTCGTACACATTATGACGTCAGCCAAATTTGAACCTCACCGTATTAAAAAATAAACTTCCCTCTATTCCATTAAAATTATTATAAGATAGAATGGCAATATTGCACAAGCACAAGTCCGTACGTAATTTAATCATGTTCCTTAAGCGACCACTCGGCATCGCGAGCTCAGAAGCACCACCACCCACACAAACAAAATAATTTTGCGTAGCTATTTTGCTTGTGCCGTTGACAACCACCGCGAACGTGTTGCAACACGCTTAAGTTGCGTAAAGCATGATGCCATATTCATAATAATAGACAATCAGAATTTAAAAACAGGATTTCAGCACAGGCTTCAGATACCGGGATTTGAATACAAAGTGGGTACTCGAATATTGGGATTCAGAAGCGATATTAAGAATCCAGAATACCGAGTACTGATCGAAAAAGCATTCAGTCGAATACCCAATACCAAGCACACGAACCTTGACAAGCAAAGGTTACCATTAGTATGAGTGTCTACGGCAACCTTTAGAATCGTGTCCCTGTTTATCAGATACCGAAGTCGCGAAATCGGAACTACAAGTACCGGAATCCATCATATAATCTAAAGAAATTGAACGTATCTTTCTTTATATTTCGAAGTGACTGAAGTTAGTAGAATTGAATAAATCCCGTGCCAATAGATTTTTATTGTTAAACACCCTAGGAACAGACCTACTAAGATCGGCCAAGCTCGAATGACAAGCAAATACCTGGCGAGTGCATCTAACAGGCTCAGTCAATAGTCTGAAAAGGGTGGGTCATAGGAACAGATACCGTTGGAATATCTCTGGGAAACTGATAAACCGACACAGAACGAGCTTTGTATGAAGTAACTCTAACTACTTGTTCCGAACATCTACTGCAATTAACTACACGCGTTCTCGAAATATCATATCCAAATTATCCCTAAAATCAGTTTGAACTTGGCTGCTAGTTATTCTTTTCTATTATCAGATAAATAAAAATTTGTTTCTTATCTTTTTTCTCCAAGAATTTCACGGAGATCGGTATGGTATTCTTGAATGCCCGCATCTAAAGTGTTTGTCAGGTTCCTGTACCTGATTTAAAAAGT